AGTGAGCAGTTATTTGCCCAGAGGGAACATGAAGTAGCCATGAAGGAAAATGACCCCATGTATCTTGAAAGAAATTAAAAAAGGAGGAATCTGTGACAATTAGGGTGCCTCTGGACCATAAATCTCTCCCTTCTGTTTCTTAATTTCAAAGAAAATGGCTAAGCAAGTAAAGAATTTACAAAGGAAGGTGTTAAAATCTAAATTCTACCACCAAAGCAGCTACTGTCAGAAGCTCACAAATAGCCTGGTAAAACATTTAAAGTGTTGTTGTATCAAGAAAGCTGAAATTCTTTTTCAAAGACATGATCATTAGAAAAAGTGGCATTAATGGTGAAAAAAAGGCAGTAGTGTGATCATCTGTTCATAGAGGTTTCAGGCTATCTGGCTATATATACAGTGGATATTTTTCTTCCTTTGTGGTAATAAAAAAGTCAGAACAGGCAATTTTCTAGACAAGTAAATGAATAGGTATAATGATTTGTGACATTTTAAAAATATAAATGAACACCCAGAATGCCCCATTTCCTAATAGTATGATCTTAACACACATGAATTCTGTCAACAGAGAGATTAAACAAAAATAACATGGGAAATACAAAAGATAAAAATAATGTTTAAATCCTGCCCACAGCCCACCATTCATTGATGCCTAGGCTTTATGTATGGACCGTGTGCCTGCATGCTTTTTGCAAGCATGGATGTCAGATGGAAGAGGTAAAATTTCTCTAAGAAGATAATTTCCATACTTCATGCTTCTTATCATTTTCCATCTCTCTGCTACTCCTTCATGTTCATTTTATTGATTCCTTTAAAGCAAATTCATCTGCTTTCATTTAACCATGCATCCAGTCCTGTTGGTATTTCCTACCACTCAGCTTTTCATAGATCCCTGAGTTCTATTCAACTTTCTTTTATTTTTATAAATGAGAAAAAGAAAAAAGAAAAACTGAAGCTCCAACTAACTAAAGCTCCAACTAAGCTTCTGAAACACTTCCCCAGGTACATAGAAACTATGATAATTTCTCTTCAATGTAAATTATGAGTCACATACATGGGGAGGATGCGTTTCTATACCTTTTACATTTTACCCAGTAGGCATGGCTTAATCGTGCTCAGAGATTTGGCGTCTTCATTAACAGTGCTCCAAGTCTGCACAATGGGAGGCAACCATGACTTTGGAATGGGGATGGGAACTTTGGACAAAGGCAATCTGTCTACACGTTGGCCTCAACCATCAGTCTGGTATGAAGTGGAACTGACCAAGGCAAACGTCAGGCTCCAGATCACTTCATCCGGAGAAGGCCATGGCACCCCACTCCAGTACTCTTGCCTGGAAAATCCCATGGATGGAGGAGCCTGGTAGGCTGCAGTCCATGGGGTCACGAAAAGTCGGACACGACTGAGTGACCTCCCTTTCACTTTTCACTTTCATGCATTGGAGAAGGAAATGGCAACCCACTCCAATACTCTTGCTGGGAGAATTCCAAGGATGGGGAAGCCTGGTGGGCTGCCGTTCATGGGGTCGCACAGAGTCGGACACGACTGAAGTGACTTAGCAGCAGCAGCAGATCACTTCATCACTGCAATAGGGAATGAATGAGCTTCTGATGGAGACCTGGAGAAGCAGGAGGAGGAAGGCCTTCTCTGAATATGTACCTTCTGCTATAAGATGAGCTTCCCAGGTGGTGCTAGTGGTAAAAACTCGCCTGCCAATATGAGACTTAAGAGACTCCTGCAATCCCTCTGTCAGAAGGACCCCATGAAGGAGGGCATCCAACCCACTCCAGTATTCTTGCCTAGAGAATCCGATGGACAGAGGAGCCTGGCGGGCTACAGTCCATGGATTCGCAAAGAGTCGGACACGACTGAAGTGACTTAGCACGCAGTCATGCTATGGAGAACTCAAGCAACATAAACTCAGGCTAACTATGGAAAAACCCCAGGAGAGTCTCTGTTGATAACCTTCCTGTGAGTTACAACTCACAGTTAGGCCTTAACCCTGGGGAACAGGGTCAGCCATTCTGGCTCTTCTTGATCATGTACATCTGGACTCACATTCTGAAGGGTTGGTAAATAATAGTTGTTTTTTTTCTCTTTGCATAATATGGTCCTAGAACCCTTTCCCAGCTCCATCCAAGCTTTGTGCTTTACACTCTACTTTCTTTAAATTAGACTGCTCTCTGTTCTCCACACAAGCTGTGTGCTTTCTCACCCCCAGGTTCCGCTTAAGTTATTCTCTCCTTTGCCCACTTCTGGACCTATCTAATTTCTCCATTATTTCTTTTTTAACTTCCTGAAGCCTTTCTTAAACCCTTATTCAGAAATGATCCCTTTCTCTTATGTCACAATAGCAGCTGATTTTCACTGTTTTATGACATTCTTACAACCTGATTTATATCATCAAATGTTGTATTTATGCCTGATCTCTTCCAGAATACTATCAATATTAGCAATTTGAGGGCAGGATCTGTAGTTGTACATTCCTGAGGGCCAGTGCTATTTCCTTCATTGTTTTCATACACACAAGCTCTCTCTCTCACTCCACACACACACACACACACACACACACACACACAGTTGGTACACAGTCTTATGACAGAAGCTTCTACTCTTCTCTGATGGACCATTGCTACTTTCACCTCTCTCTTCACCCCAACCTAAGAAGATCTGATGTCAAAATTACCTCAGAGGGTATTGGTCAAATTCTCCTCTGGCACAGTTCAACCCTTTGCTTGTGATTAAAAATAATCTAATAATGAGAAAAATCCAATTGCCATGAGTACCACACTGTGTGTGGGTCTGTATGTGTATGTCATAGGCCCTTGGCCACCGCTGATGTCACACTGGAAATCTGCAGGATTTCTTGTGAAGAGGTTATTTAGCCCTGGACTATCCTTTCAACAGTTTCTGTGACTTTGTGTGTGGGTCTGACCGTGTGTGTGTGTGTGTAGCATTTTTTAATTCCCTAGAGAAATCAAGAACTGGTGAAATAAAGGAGTCATCTGCCTTTCACACCCATAAATGTGCTGTTTCCACGCTTTCCTGCAAAGAACTGACTGAACTTACTCAAGTACAGTTGGCGCTTCCCAGAATGAGGAAAAAATAACTGAGGGAAGGGAGCCTTGGTAAAATAACTTTCTAAATATATTGTCCTAAATATTACCACGATGCAAGAAGAGGTTCTCAGGCTGCGAGGTGCTGAGAGGGCCTTGGCTTAGAAAGTCCACCGTCGTCTGTGGACAGGTGTCTGTTCCCCGCTTCCATCCTTCGCAGTAACCCGTCCTAGGATCCCAAGTAAGTGAACCTTCCGTGTGAAAACTGTTACAGTGATCTGCTCGGGGAACACCAGCTGTGGACGCGTTCTCTCCTACCGATGTTATTAATAGCTCGTTTCCACTCTTACCCCTTGCCTTTCTCCAAGCAATGACGTCTCCATTTTAGCATCCTGGCAGGGGTGGCTGGATTCTGAACTCGACAATATTTCTAACCCCTTCTACTTCCATGTCCTCGCTGATAAAGAAACAGCCAAGGGCCTCTCTGGGTCAGGGGTGAGCACTGACCACGGTGATGTACAGACTGATGAATCCATTGTCGGTTCCAGCTGGTTGCTCTGACCGCACAAGGGCCCCCGAGGCCAGGTAAGCTGCTTTCCGCATCTCTTGCTTCAGGTTTGATATCAAACTTGCATCCCCTTTCCTACTTTTCCAGCTGAGACAAGGATCCCTACTTTTCCAACAGAAAGAAGGATATATCCCAACCTTCAGCAGAGGAGCGCCAGCTGTGGTCGCGGGCCACGACCCCATCGCTCCAATTTAAAGTCGGGCACACGCGAGTGTGCGTATGGTAGGGGGTGACCCGGGGGAGCAAGATCCCCGCGCAACTCATCTGTGTGAGCTTCCAGCACCCCCGCCTCTCCAGGCTCGCGGGGACCTCGCCAGCGCTGTGCGCCGGGGACCGAGGGCAGAGCCCGCCGAGCGGGTCCAGGGGAGACTTTGGAGTTCTCCAAGGACGCAGGAAACGCGGACAGCCCAGTTGAACGCAGCCCCTCTCATCTCTCATCCCCTCCCCGATCTCTCTCCCTTAGGGTATCTGCTATCGACAGCAGTGGGCCGAGGTGGGTAAGAGACACCGCGCACATCTTTCCGCCTAGGAGACAGGCGGTGTAGACACCAAGGACGGCTCCTTTCCCTCCGCTCGGGCAGAGTGTGGAAAGCGTGGGAAGCGGGCAGCCTGCAGAAGGTTTGCGCGAGAGGGAGGGCCTGCGAGAGGGAGAACACCCCCCCCACCCGCCCTTGAAGGAATGCGAGCTGCAGAATACACCGCCCGCCCCCAGCGGTGCGGCTCCCGCGAAGCCCTGGCGCGCTAGGAGCGCGCGCGGGGCCGGGCAACCGTCGGCAGCATCAGCACGGGTTCCAGCGGTTGGCTTCCGCCCACCTGCCCGCGCTGGAGCGAGAGCGCCAGGCTGCCCTCCGTCCCTCGGCTCAGGGCCGCCCGTTCCCCTGAGGATCGCCCCCAGGCTGGGCGCGCGGACGCGCTCGTGCCAGCCGGATCGCGGCGACCCCGGGCAGCCGGAGGCCCCGGGAACCGAACTCGCGGCTGCGAGCGCGACTGCGGACGAATCCCGGGGCCGCGCGCCTCGCGGCCGGCTGTCGATCGCCGTGCGGCGCGGAGGGATACGCCTGGGCCGCGCCGCCCCGCCCCGCCCCTCCCCGCGCCCCCGCCCCCGCCTCCCTCCCCGCCCGGCTCTGCTGCCGCCGCGGCGGCCGCTGCTGCTGGTGCTGCCGCTGCCGCCGCCGCCGCCGCTGCCGCCGCCTGGATATAGTGCGGCAGGGAGCGGAGCTTGCAGTCACTTTGCGAGGAGGAGCGCGCGGGCTGCGGGCGGCTGGGGCACCCCCGGAGCGGCGGCGGCTCTCGCAGAGGCGGCCGTGACAGCGGAAGGTTCTCTCTCCGCGGTTGGACTTAATAACTTTGGAACTGTCCACCGGTGTCACGTCCTGAACATGAGCCTCCTCCTCTCCTTCTACCTGCTCGGGTTGCTTGTCAGTAGCGGGCAAGGTAGGAGTGCGGTGCTTTTCTTGCGTTTACTTTCCCTCCCCCTTCTAGCCAACCAAGAGAGCCAGAAGGAGCTCCAGGAAGAATTAAATGACGGGACTGAAGTTATAGTTATTGTTGTTATTATTATTTCCCCCTAATGATGTCTGGTCTGAGGAGACCCTTGAAGAAGAAAATACAGGCTGGGAGATGGGCATCAGCGAGCCGGAGGTTGAGAAAAACTGTATCTTTCTCAGGGATCTTGGCTTTCTTTGATTTTCATTATCAAAAAAAATTGGATGAGTAGGTTGGCATGTGTTACCAGTTAAATGTCTGAGGTTGCGAAAGGCAAGGGAAGGATGATGTTTTAAAGAAGCAGCAAAAAGCTATCAGCATTAAACTCGTTGTGAAATATCTCTGTTGTGTGCAGAAAATTCAATTCTTAGAGACTTTTTTTTTTATTCCCTTGCCCAAGACCCCCAGTTTCTGACAGAAGTGAATGATGATGGTTTATTTCTGTTGAGAACTAAGAGAGGGGCCATGGATGTGTGTAAGAAAGCAGATGGATAAAACTAGGAATGTCTTGCAGTCATTCGTTTTCAGCACACCCCCCCCACCCCTTGTTAATACAGCGAGGTTGACATTTTTTATGTCATCAGATTCTAATTACACCTGTAAGGGATGTTTTAGCTTGTGGGGAACTGGTGGGATTTTTATCTGTTTAGAAAAAAACAGAAATAGCTTACTAGAGTAACCTCAGAGAGAATTTGGGGAAGCTGCCTCTGTTTATAGAGATAGATGTGAATTTGCATTGCTTTGTTTAGTTTATGTTCACGTAAAACATATTTATAATAAATGGATGCATTTTCAACAGTCCAGATAAGTTTGGGCATTTAAATTGGGGACCCAAAACGCTAAAACAGGCATTGGTGGAAGTCTTCCAAAATATATGTATATATATATATATATATACATGTATATATATAGCAGTAATTTTCTGATGTGTAATAATCGCAGAGAATGTTATATTATTAGTGTAGCATGAAATTGTTTTTTTTTTTTTTTGAGAAAAATATAAATTACAGCACAAGTTAAAATATCTCCACTGTATTCAGTTCTAAGCTTTGTAGCCTCTTCTGTGTTTCTCATTTGGTCCAGCAGGGGGTGGTAGAACTCCATTTTAAGGTGGGTCTGTTCTTCCACACTCCCTAGGTCCTTCTATCATTCTTCAGCAGGGCTTGGCATTTTGGATATGAAGCCTTCCTTTCTCTGCCCTTCTCCTCCCTAAAGCTATAGTGTTAGTGGCTGATGAAACTCGATTGGATACAGATTTTTATGTTCAGAAATTAGAAGTCAACGCTGGACGCAGCTTTAGTTTGTAAAGTGACTTGCTAAGAGGCTGCTCATTTTCCCTTAAAAGAATAGAGTATGCAAAATTCCAGCCATAGCAAAATTGCAGTTTTGACCATCTGAAGCTTATATTAGGCCAGCCAGTTAATTGAATCATTTTGATAGCAACGATCAATATACACACTCTGCCCTAAAGATACGCTGCTTTAATTGTTAGAGAGCTGCTGATTATGTTTAACTGTTCATTTATAATATAGACAGGTATTTCTGAATACTGAGAAGCAGTCCCCCAAAATTGTGGTTAAAATACCACTGCAATTAACCAAGTGTAGACAGTGTGGACAAAATGGGGACATCATGGAAGGCAAGTTTGTGCAGACTTAGGATTATATTGTGACTGATTTGGAGAAGAAAAAAAAAATGTGTCAGTTGTGGAGTCTTTGAATTTACCATCATAGACATTAAGTGTGTTGGAATTTGGGGGATAAAAAAGAAATCTGGGAGTGTTTAAATAGTACACACAGACACATATAATTTGGGTCTGTGTGTGTAACACATATTTGAAATTGTGATTCACCAGTTTAGAATTCAGAAGGCAGGGTGATTATAAAGAGGGGCTTGGAGACTGAAGCATGCCTGACGGGGAGCCCATATTCACTGTAATGTAACAGGGAAGGGAGAGAGCATCGTTCCCAAGATCTCTCTATCTAGTACAATTTAAAAATGCATGGCACTCACGGAGGTATAGATGCATGCATAGCAGAGAGCCCGAGCTTTTGTGAAACAGAACATGTGGTACTTCTGTGCCATGTGTCCTAATGAAGTCAGAGATGCCTGGAAACGGCAATCCTGATCCTGAAGTCCAGTTCCTCTCTGCTAGTGTTTTGTTCTCCAATTAAGGATGCAGCAGCAAGTATCAGAAGCACCACAGGGAGCAGTTTGAAAAAAAAAATGCATCTAGTGTAACTCATAATTTTGTTTATTCTTTTGTAAATGGGGCCATGGAAAAGCCACCAGTCAGTGATCCCTGGGCTTGCCTTTGAAATACTAAAATCGCAGCTTGCTGATTTATGTTTCCAACAATATACTTGCAGGAGGTTTTATGAAGCATGATTGAAGCTATCGCTTTGGAAAGTGGTGTGCAGTTAGACTGAGGAAAGGCAATGATGATGTATTCCCTTTTAAGTAGTCAAAATGTTTTGAACTGCGGCCGTGGAATAGCAGAAAATGACAGAAGTGAAAAACTGACCAACTTAAGTGGATGCCAATACCATAATTAGCTAACAAGGCCTAATAGTTCTACTTCTAACTTTCAACACAAGGTTATTGTTCTGCTGTAGTGAGAGGCTTTTTATTGTAGCAGAAGTGCTCCTTTAAAAGCCTCTCCTTCTCACTGCAAGATTCATATCCAATGAAGTGCAGTTGGGATTTAATTGTTGAGTCTGGATTTCATTGTCAATGAAACAAATATTCCATTGCTCTAACTTCTGCAATTAGTTTTCCTTTTTATTTAGAACTCGGTCACAGCTTCTGTCATTATTAAGTCTCAAATGATAACTTGAGCCTGTGATTCACAGTGCATGTGCTGTTTGGATCTCTGTAAATTTGGATTTACATGTAGGGGCTGCTTTCCTGAAACTTTAAATTTTTGAAATAATTTTCTTCTAAAATTACCCAAGTGCGATTAATAATCATCTATGACTGACTGTTCGCATACATACATTAGAAGCGCTGTTGTTCAAAATTATTAAGCATGAACAGAAGTATCTGTTCAGCTGGATCTCTCTTGCCATCTAGTACAAGATACATTCCTAGAACACTCACCTCAGCCAAAATCATTGGTGAGAGGAGGGTGTTACCCAGTTAGTTAGTTGAACTTACAGGCATCTGCTTACAATTATGCTTCCTGATGGAGTGCTGGTAAGTCATTGTTCATTAGACAGGTGTACCTGCTAAAAATAAAGCGTAGGTGTGTGGGTGACCACTGGATTCAGGTCTGCAGGAAGGTCTCCACAAAATTGTCTCCTGTGGAGGTGTTAAGCAGACAGCCTGTCTTACTTACCTGGCTCTAGTGCTTTGATGTCAGCCTTTCTTTGTAAGATATCAGTTGAATCACTCCACATTCATTTGCATGTACAGAAGATAGACCATGGAAATTAATATCCTTATCCTCAATGAATGAGCCACAGGATTTCTTTCTCTGCTTTATGTCGAAGGAGTTCAGTGGAGCGTTTGGTCACTTTAGTGTCCAGTGATGAATTGTGATGCCCAGAGAACTGGAAGGGAAGCTGGCGGGTCCTGACTGTTCATGAGTCTGTTCAGTGGCACTCAGCGCTAATGGAGAGGTAATGCCCTCTCAGAGAAGCAATTAGGGGGACGGAAGAACCTCATGCGGCCCAAGAAGAAACTCAAACTTCAGATAATTTAGTACAGAAAATGGCCTGTTTTCAAACATGGGACTTGTTTGTACTGAGACTGAGAAATGAGATACAGAGAGTGTTCAGTACCAAGCTAACTGCATGATTTGTTTTTGCCTGTTTCCTTGAGAGTGGGAGGTGAGAACGCAGACAGACTTGTCCCTGAAGACCCTGGAACTAGTCTCGCTGCTTCCTCTGGCTTTTGACATTTGGGAAATGATCTTAATTCTTCTGTTTTGGAGGTCATCTCTCACAACAGTGTACCTGGAAAAGTACTTTGAATTGCTTTTTTGGTCCAAAATAAAAATAATCCTCTAGGAGTTGGTGGATGCAGATTTAATAATTTTAATATTCTTATAAGTGAGTATAGTTGTTTTTTCAAGTTTTATTGACCTAAATTCTAAATTCCCTGTGCCCTTTATGCTATCCCAGTTATACTGAAGATAGGCCTATTTAACAGATTATAGTTTTAATGTTCCAAATTACATGGTATGAGAACACTTTAAGATGCAACCAGTGCTGTTATTAAATGTTTAATATTCCTGAGTTTCAGAGAACCGAGGTATCTTTAATTGTTCAGCAAATAAAAGTGCTTCTGTATGGCACTCTTTTAAATATTTTAATAACTTTGAACTATTTGCAATTATAACAATAGTGCTCATCTCAAATGATTATCAACACACTCCCTCGTTTCACATGCTCACTTGTGTCACTAACAATTCTTCAAACATTGCGAAATATTTTAGAAAGCTATGATCTAATAGGAGAAGGGAGCAGCAGAGGAAGATAGATAGCATCACTGACTCAATGGACATGAATTTGAGCAAACTCCATTAGAGGACAGAGGAGCCTGGCGTGCTGCAGTCCATGGGGTCACAAAGAGTTGGAGATGACTTAGGGGCTGAGCAACAAGAACAGTGATCTAATGAAATAAACTTGCCTGAATTTAAATAGTTAAGAGGCAGATGGGGGAGTGTTAAGGGTATTTATAATCATAACAATCAACAGATTAACCTTGGGAGAATCTTAGGTCACTTGATGAAAATTGTTTTTTATTTATTTATTTTTTTATTAAAATGACACATTTATTTTAAAACACTCATGACTATAACATAAAAAACATAAGTAAATATTTGTAGCAAATTTCAAATAAAACTAAATATGTAAGACAATATATATATGCCTGCATATTTAATGTAGAAAGTTAATCAAAACTTATCAGTAAATATTCTCACTCCAATAGATCAAGAAGTCAAT